AAATTAAGTAGAAAATATAGCATGATGGGTGAGAATCAATCTCAAGATCTCTTGGTATAAGGAAGGAAACTCTAACCACTTAATTCTTAAATGGATCTAGTTCACACTAATTTATTGTGCACCACTAACATTAGAGACAATATAATTGTTTTATTAATAAAAAAAAGTCACTATATTAAAATAAAAGTTATTATGTTGAAATAAAAGTTGGTGTGACATTATAAAAGCTATAACAACTTAACTTTTTTTAATGAAATTTTTAATATAATGGTCAATATGAGTAATAAAGATGTTAAAATTAGGTTATTATTCAACATAATTTCGTACTTTAAATTCATAATAATATTAAAGGTCACACATGTTTTAAAAAAAGGTTACTATGTTAAAAATAAGGTTACTATAATATATATAATTCGGGGTCACTATGGGTCTGGTCACATTTACTGAACTGAACTGAACTGAACTGATTGGAACTGAACTGAATTGAGCTGAAATGAATATTTTATGAGAGAGGGAAATTAAGAGCTGAACTGAACTGAACTGATTGGAGCTGAACTGAACTGAACTGAACTGATTGGAGCTGAACTGAACTGAAATTAAGTAACTGTGAACAGGCCTTATGTTGAATATAATGTCAGTTACGTGTGTATAAACCTTAGATCCACAATAATATTATTGTGGACCAGGTTCACGCAAGATTTGTTGCTTGTGTTATCCCTCACTCTCAATGCATAACTCCGTACATAATTTTTATGAATCTTATGATGTTTAACTTTCTTCCCCTAACTCTTTATTTGTGTAAAAAGATCTTGTAAGTGGTCGATTTATTTAAAAGGACATTTTAAGTGAAAATTTGTGAAAAAGACCTTTTTAAGTTGTATTATTATTATGAAGGGGTACTAAGCTGATTTTTCGAGTGGTCAATGGTGGAGCTTCGACATTGACTTTCATGTGGGAGACACGTGACTTTTTTTAAAAAGCCCACACGTTTTTCTTTTAGGAAGTATGAAAGGGGGAAAAATGAAAAGGTAGTTCGAAAAGGAGGGAATTTTGGGGGAAAAGGGAAAAAATGGGTGGGTATTTTTTAGAAGTCACTTGACCCCACATGAGAGTCAACGTCGGAGCTCCGGTGTTCACCACCCGAAAAACCCAGGCTAGTACCTTCTCACATCATAATACAACTTAGGGTGCGTTCTATTCACCTGATTTTTACTTACCTTAACTTATCTAAACTTATATAATCAACCCTTATTAGAACTTATTTTAGTCATAAATTAAACTTGGGTAGTCCTGATTAACTCTTATTACAACTTATCTGAATTTATTTTCCCTGAACTTATCTTATCTAAACTAATCTGAACTTATTAACCCTTATCTGAACTTATTAATCCTTATCTAAACTTATCAACCCAAAGATAAGTGAAAATAAGGTGAAATGAATATCGCCTTATAAGATTTTTTTTAAAATTGAGCACTCAAAAGTTCCTACACAAATCTTCCTTTTACTTTTCTAAATCTTTTGTCATGCGTTTACATGATTTTTGTTGTCATTTGGACTTTTACATGATTTTTATTGTCATTTGGACTTTTACATGATTTTTAATGAGCTAAAATTCATGATTTTTTATTGGGCTTTACTGCAACTTTTTGCCAAAATGTTTTTGGGGTCAAGTACTCAAGTATGAGCTCTAAAATAATATGTCATTTGATCTTAAGTTTTGTATGTAGGTAATTCCTTTCTTTTTTTTTTATTTTTTTTTATTTTTTTTTATAGTTATAGTATATATATAATTAGAATCTTGCTAACGAACGCCATTGGGACGTTGGATAATCATTTAAAATACTGCGTAAAATGATATTAATTTGGGAAAGCATGACAAAATCACGCGTTGATTGATGCAATTAATGTTCATTTTAATTTAATCTTTCTACTTTTAGGCTTTAGCTAGCTTATCCAACGCCCCTGGGGTGTTCGTTAGCTTTTACCATATAATTATTATATATATACATATATATATTTTTTTTATACATGTAATATTATTATCTAATATAAATAATTTGTTCTCTAACATATCTGTATAAAAAGTTGTGGCATGGTTAAGAATTCTGATTTTTTATTGAACAAGTATGGTTGGATCAAACACCTCTAACTTTAATTTTTTTTTTTTTATCTAACATCCACCATTAATGATGATTACGGTATTGAAGTTAATAAATATAGTTAAGGCCCTATTCTCAATTTAGTTTTTAATATTATGAATTGTAGCCTAAAATCAATCATATATAAGCTATAACCTCATGTTACAAGATAGAGAGTGAAAACATGAAACATATACATAAGATTAAAGGTGGGCATGCATCGTGTCGTGCCGTGCCTGGATGGGGCTCGTGCTGGGCCGTGCCGTGCCAAATTTTGGCACACCCCAGCCAACGGCACGGTCCACGTGTCTGGCGGACCGTGCCGTGCAAGGCTGCGGGCCAACCCGTAATTTTTTTTAATATATACTTCGTATGTATATATAAAAAAAAATCGATTTATAAAAACTTAAGTTTATATAAATAATTGTGTAGAATTGGTAATCATTTTAATACTAAAATATTTTTTTGTACCAATTTTCTTTTAGGCTTAGTTTGATACCAATAGACTTCTTTTTAGTACTAAGATACCAAGCTAATTTAGTACTAATAAATTTTACTATAATCCTTTTAGACACGCGTTACTTGAAACTGTGAACTTTTCCTCTAGGTGGGTTATAAGAGAAAGTTTTTGCCTCAATAGCTTGAGTTTTCTATGACTCTACTATTTAACGTTGTTATTAAATTACGCTTAGATGATATCATTAAGGCACCAAAATGCTTCTTCATTAGTACCTACAAGTTCAAAATTAGGAGTAGGATATAAGCTTCATTGGCATTAATAGCAATTCTATACTTCATATCATATTATCATCTTATTATAACATAATACAAGCAAATGTTATAATTTATTAAGTATCATTAAAATCTTAAGTTATTAGAGAATAGAGACATTCTTTGGGGTGTAAGGGAGCGGGGGATTCGATGCTCACTTTCTCTCATTTATGACAAATTGTGGTTGTATATAGGGACCACATACAACAATTGTATGTGTAGCCTTTAGAAATCAAGCCGAGTCGACTAATTGGGTCATTCATCTTACTTACTCGCAAATTCGCAATACCCAATAAAAGTTACAGTAAAATAAAATAACTTCCCCTCATTCCCACCCTTTTCCCATGCACCCTGTCTTTTCCCTGCATTACGTACTGCAAGCTTGAAGAGAAAGTAGCAGAAAAATACAGTGGCAGTATCAGAATTGCAGTAATAAAAAATGGTGGTTTTGCCAGATTATCCAAAATCCTTCAAATTAGACCGAAAATCCAAATTTGCTACCAAACTTAAACCCCTCATTTCTCATCAACTCAACCATATTTGCCCAGATTTTACAAATGAGAGCGATGACGTCCTTGCTGTAATCTCTCTACTCTTTTTCTTCCATTTTCCCCCATTTTTTTGTTGCTTTTTATATATTTGTTTTATTTATCTTTGTTTGCTTGAAATTGAACCTTAATAAGTTAAGATTATGGAGTTATTGCTATTAAACTAGTTATAATACGCATTAATGTAGTTGGAATTTGTGGGTTTTGTTCGCCATTTTATTTTGTGGGTTTTTGTTCGTCATTATAAATTTGTGGGTTTTGTTCTGCACAAAATTTCAGGAAATGGGTTTCATAAAAACTTCAATGGTGGTGAATTATTTGTACTAATTTTGATGATTATTAACTGAGGAAATTGTTAATCAATTGTTGTGTATCTTTGGTGTAGGAGCCCTAGTTGTTATTGAATAAGGTGAAGAAATTGTTTTATATAACTGCATTGTTCTTAAAATGTTGTGGGGTTGTAAATTTGTTGTTGGTTGCTTTTGGCAATTCTAGTTTGATGCTTACTTGGCATGATTTTGGGGTGAATCTAACGGATAGCCGGCGCTAATTACTTGCCAAACCCCATTATTAGTGCTGTGATAATAGTATTCATGGTCTCATGGTGAAGTTGTATGATAAGTTATTTATTTTGTGTGTGTATGGAACATGGAATGTTAGTATAGAGCCTGATTTCAAAAGGGTTTGTAAAAAGCAACTAGATGAACATATGTGAAGAATTTCCTGTTTAAGCTTGGATGCAACTGTACCAGGATGTTTTTTTCCGCGTTAAGTAACTATCCCAATCTAGGGTAAGCTGGTAGAAATGTTATATAGTCCAGGTTCATTGCTCATGCCACACACAAGAATTGATTAGCAGGGAGCACAAGTTCCAGATCATACTATAATAATTCATAAGTGAACATATATAGAATGCTGTTTGTGGTAAGATGCCTATTGCTGTTCAGCTGGCGAAATTTGACTTGTTATGACAAAAAAACACCCAGAAGTAACATGCCATATTAGTGTGGGCATCGTTGCATTGGTGTTCCTTGGACGAGTCATTGTTGCAAGTTCTAAAGTTTAGATTTACATGTATGGATTTTAAACTACAGGAGTTGAAAATGCTAAGTTTCAATTAGGGTGAAGGTCTCAAAAAAGAATTGTTTCATTACTAACTTTGGAAGCTGTTGCTTCAAACATTGGAAGCTGTTGATGATGAAAGTGAAATTATGTGATCTTCTCTATGTGCATGGAAACCTATCATCTTAAAAAAAAAAAAATTCCCCTTTAATAGAATATGCTAGTGATCAAGCTACAATGTTCCTTCAAAAAAAAAAAAAAAAAAACCTACAATGTAACAGAGAAACAAGCACAAATTTACCTGGCCTGGAGCTTCTTTGGGAAATTGGAACTTCCCTCTCAGTAATGTTGTACTATATTATTAAATATTATTAACTAATAAACAAATTTTAAGCTGTCAATTTTTTATTTATATACATTTTTTTTTATTTGAAAAGCTGTCAAATTGTCGGTCTCAAAAAGGAAGCAGTTTGGTGACTGGTATAGATTAAAGTAACTGGAGGGCTTCAATGTGAGATAAGTTACCATCTGACCAATCCTTGTCTGAGCCTTTACTACCCTAAATATCTTTAGCTTCTAGTTCCTGTTCAAGTGTTCAGTCTGCTGGATGATCTGTGTGTTCAGCTATACTTATGTTGAATTTGATACTCTGGAGTCTTTTACCTGATTTCCTTTCAAACCATGCTGTTTTGTTGTAAGGTGGCATCTCTTTGACTCATACCATAATGAAACATGCTATATGATCTATTAATGAAAACCAGGTAAAACTGGGTACTTGAACAGAGTTTTTTACCAAGTAGAGGTGTGTTTCAATAATTTTACATGAATTGCTTTTTGAATCTTGCTTTCCTCTAGAGTATGAAGTCACTTAGACCTATATCAAAATCATATACCAAGGGGTTTTGAACAGTTCATATCTGGTAATCTGGTATTATTGCTTTGAATGCTTGTAACTTGGTACAAAATTTTTCTGCATGTGAATGATCTGATAATGTGACTCTGTTCTTTCTTATCTAGTATTATGATTTCATTTTCATACCATCAGTGAGCTCATGTTTAACATTGGAGCTCACTGTGAATAGGTTTTCCGTTTTCATAACTTACTTTTTGCTTCCTTTCTTTTTTCTGCAGGAGTACATTACAGTTTTGGTATGTAATGGGAAAAACCAAAATCAGGCAAGAGACGATTTGCACGCGTTTCTTGGAAGGAGGACTGAGGAATTTGTATTTTGGTGAGTAATTCTTGATCTACTGATCAGCTGTTTTATCATTATTCAACAAACGCTTGTTTCTAAATCAATTGCTGTTCTCCTGGACTACTGCATTTAGGTGGGATAAACCTTGCAAAACATATAGTGTTAGATAGCATTCTTGAGCTACCTCACAGCAACTTGCCGACTGCAGCAATTGTTTAGTTACTGATACAAAACAAACATCTGTCACTGTTGCCTCCTGATAATTGTTTGTGACCAATAATATTGTTGTTAATGATATCCTTGCAGTATTTGAATAGTGAAACTCCAATGTAAATTTAGTGAGGATTCAGACATCTGAACTGTGTACTTGCTTCTTAATTCTATAGCCGAAATTCTCTTTTGATATTTCCGGCTCAATATTGTAGGCTATGGAAGTTTCTTCTGAAGAATGAGACTCAATTAACTGCTTCGGTATCATCAGATATGACTGTTGGCACTGTCCATAGTTTGTGTGATGTTGATAGAGACAAAGCTTGCGCAAACAGAACATTTAAAAGTTGTCCGAGTTATTCTGTCAATATGATGGTAATGGAACTTTTTGAACTAAACTTCTTTGTGCTAGAATCGTCTGTAATTCTTGTCAAAAAAACAGAATTGTCAGTAATTTTGTGGTGAAATTTTGAAAATTATTTTTATCGACAGGGTAAACATGATAAATATCATTCATCTGGGCAAGCCTGTAAATCGCCTGATATCGAACCACAAAAGGATTATCATCCTCCCCTAGCAAAAGAGTTGGCAAAAATTGCCATCCAGTCAAGTGACCTTCGAAACAAAGTTGCTAAGTTTGATTATTCGAAGAAGGTGCTGTCATCAGTTAGGAATTATCAGCTTGAAACAGTAAATGACTACGAAAAGGTAGACATAATGAGTGCTAAATTTGTTTGTTCGTGTGGGTATTGATATGCATTATATCTGATTTTTTAACTACTGATCCAGCATTCTAGGTGCACTGACTTGTTCCCTAAGGCTGCTTCTTTAGCAAGGAAAGATGTTGCTTTGAAACTCGATTATCTCCCTGCATCTGTAGCTAAGTCTACTCGAAGCTGTAAGCTGCCAGATAAGGAACCTGCTAGTTTATTGGGGAGGCCTCCTACTTCTTTACAAGAGAGGAATCCTGCTTCTAGAACACAGTTCTCTAATGTCAGTAAGCTTTCAGGTAATATAATTGCTTCCAAGAATTAGCCTTGTTCTTCATGAAGACTCATTCATTGAAATGCTGCTTGATATTATCATTGTAAACACCAGCATTACTTCTTTTTTTTTTTTTTGGGTGGCAGAGTGCCCACAAATGCGTAATGTGGGTAATGCCTTGAAAGGGAGCCTTACTCCAGTAATTTCATCCTCCAATATCAACCAGCCACGGAAAAGTGTTTGGGACAGATTGGGGAAGCCTCAACAGGATGCACTATCCAGAAGCCAGATTGTTGATTTTTGTGCAAGAGAAAAGGCTCATTGCAATAAAAACTGGACTGACCACCATTCTTCAATGACTCCAATTCCTTCTGAACAAACAGTTCAAGCTTCTCCCTTGCCTGCTCTGTCTAGAGGTCAAGGCAGCCGAAAATTGGGACAAGTACATCAGTCTTTCCGGGGAGGTGGCACTCACCAACTTGATGACACCATGAGACCAAAAATTGCCGTTAAGACAAATTTTGAGGTTCCATCTATTAGTAATATTGGAAGAAAAAGGCAGTTTGGTGAAATTAGTGGCCAAATAGATGCTGGTATGACAACAGAGAAGATAACAGAAAACCAATTTGAAAAGCCTTGGCAGTCCCGTAATATATCAGAAGTACCATTAGAGGGTTCTCAGTCTGTTGTCCCTGTATGTGGAACCTTCTCCCTTTTCCCCCTATCCCCTAGTCCACTCTCTCATCCTCACCATAATGAAATATTGAACTGGTTGGCCTGTATATCTTGAAACTTGTAAGGGCATGATACCTCTAATGCGGTTCATTTAAGTTGATTTCATTTCATAAGCAGTGAAGCCGGTTAATAATTGTCGTCTGATATCAAGTTATACTGCTCAGGAATCGAAGACTTAGTTTCTTAATTGTGGAAGGGACCTATGTTTTTTTTTTGTTTTTTTTTTTTTTTTTTTTTTTTTGTGGAAGGATCTTGCTGCTCATTTTTATCTAATGACCTAGAAGGTGCTTACTAATAAAAAGACTAGGTTTCATCTAAATAATTGTCGTCTCCTTTGAAATTGCTCTGTTTGTTACACCGCGCCATTGAGATATAATGAATGTGATAATATCCCTCTGCTTTGGCTTAGTGCTTCTTGCCTTATAGTACTAACATGCCCATGCATCCTATGCAGCAAGTGGATGATATGAAATTGCGTTTGCGTCAGATTGAGCTAGATATGGTTAAGCTACGAGAAAAGCAAGTATCATTGGAGAAAGATGGAAAGACCAACTTACTAACAAAATCTGGTAAATAGTGTTCCATTTGCTCATCTGATATCTTGATAATATTATAGTGCCATGCCTATTGTACAATCTGCCTACAACTTTTACATGTAATAAATTTTTAGCCTATGGATTTGTAATTAATTTTTTGAACATTTTAAACAAGTATGTGCTGGATTGCCGGATCTTTATTTGTTGATGGCCATATATTCACAAATGCCTAAACATTGTGCGTTACTGGGATATTAAAGAAATATGCTCTGAAATCTTATCTGTGCTGGATTGCCAGATCTTTATTTGTTGATGGCCATATATTCACAAATGCCTAAACATTGTGTGTTACTGGGATATTAAAGAAATATGCTCTGAAATCTTATCTTATTCATCAACATAAAAAACAAACAAACTAATTATTTTATGCTCTGCTATTTTTTTAACAAGTTTCAAGTTATTATGATTTTGTCTCACAGGTTCCTTCCCAAAGTAACTATCATCTCTTTCTTGTTTTTACAGCTATCTTGTACTCTTAATACTTAATTAGCTCAATGTTCTCCTCCCTGTGCTTCTCTCTTATATTCTGACAGAGGTTTGCCATTGCTTAAGTAAACTTGATCACTCCTTTTGCAGGTGTGATAAAGCCAACAGTGGATGAATCAAGAACAGTGCTCGTGACTAATGTAAAAGCCTAATGTGCTACAAAAAATTGCAATAAGTCCAATATGATTGATTTAACCTCATCTTTTCTACATTGCATGTATCTTCCACAGGAGGGAAATTCATATGTTAAGACTTTGCTTAGCATATCCGGCCTTAGAATAAATAAAGCTGACATGCATAGAAAGTGGTTTGCATAGAACATAATTGGAAATTGGCTGAGTGCTAAAGCAAAATATTTACATTTCATTTCTTACTTATGTTGAATGGAAGTTCTGGAGAATTGGTGTATTGATTTTTAACTTGAAAGTACAGAAACAGTATGGGAGCTTAAATACCCCCCCCCCCTCTTCCCCTTTACCTATCTAAAAAGAATATGAGTATAAAAAGTAGGCACTCATGCATATATGCACCAACCCTGAGAGCCATCTTATCATTTGCTTTGCTTTTAGAGAAAAGACAGATTTTGATTAATTGCCTGTTCAAAATATCATCTTTTCCTGAATTTGAACATATAAGTTGGGTAATGAGACTGATGACAAGTATGTTAATGACTAACAAATTTGTAGGTACATTTTGAGGCAACAAAAGAATCTTTATTGATGTACTTCTGGAAGTGTGGAGCTGTTGTAGACATCAAATTTGCTGATAATATGCCATCTGCACGAGAAAAGTAGATTTCATATCCTTATCTGTCTTTCATTTGTCAAAAAAAAAAAAAAAAAAATATATATATATATGGATATCTGATATTTGAGAAAAACTCCCATGTTTAGGTCTGCTTACATTACTTTCCAAAACAAGATGGCTGCTGATAAGGCTTTGAGATTCAGTGGGGCATCTTTTTATTCAAGAACCATTAAGGTAAATTTTCAGCTCTACTGATGCATTTTTTTAAAAATGATTCTTATAGCTGTTATTCTTATAGACTCAGTGGCTCAGTGCCTTATCGAGTTATCGTACACGTGTTTGTATAACACTGGAACAGCTTCTTTCAGTAAAGACTGGGTCAGGGAGAAAGGGGGGGGGGGGGTTGTAGTATGTACTGTGTAGTTCTCCATAGCAGAGATTGACTGTAAACTACAGTTCTTTGGTTCTCCGTTGGAAGTCGGGGCTGTTCTTCTACCTTAGTTCTGCCTTCAGCAACCAAGCATGATGTAATTAAAAAGTTATGGTGCTGAATTTTGTAGGTTTGTAGGACGGGGGAATTTCCCAGTACAGCCACAGCACCATCAGCTGAAATTTCTGGCAAGAAGATGCAAATTACTCCTTCAAAAAGCAACGTTAACCCTGAGGGGTTTTCTAATTCTGAATCTCATTCCAAGTGTCAGAATGAACCTTTTTCTTCAGCTCATTCAGAACCCTTGTCTTCTACCTTTGACGAAACAAAATCAGTTGCGGAATCTTCTTGTCAGCAAGGACCTTCAGCTGCTTCTTCCGTAGAGATGCCTGCAGAATCAGAGCAGCAGAATTTGGCGACTGAGACATGTACCTCACAGCCAGAGCATCTGTCTTTATCATGAAAGGCCTAAAAAGTGCTCTGATAGAACTGAAACTTACAATTTGAGATCAAATTTTACAAGGGTGAGTTGTGGATTATAGTTTTAACTTGGGATAGACAGCATATACCTTAAAACGAAGTATATAATAATTTCTGTAGGTAATTGTACAGAAAGTAAGAAAGAGCTTTGGCAATGTCATTCACCAGTTGAAAAGGACATGTTTGGATCCTGTAACGGATTTCTTAACTTTAAATACAACGAATTGCATGTGCATTGGTACAACACTTGTTTTTCTTTTCCTTAAAGCTACAGAGTGCAAATTATTACTTCGTATCTTTTTATACAAGTCATTCTTTAGTATTAATGCCTTTTGTCCGATTTTGGTAAATTTTTTAGGCGCCAAACCAAAATCAGATCATATTTCATGGCTAAACCTAATAAAATGATTAGGTGTACAAATATATACTTGTATCTTCTGAATTTCTGATGTCTTGGAGCTTAAAATCTGCCAGAAAAGAACAATAAAGTGAAGTGCACCAAATGTATTTACAAGTGTTTAAAAGGGATTGAAGACTTAAAACTGTTAATAGTAGCAAATTGGCCTTTTCATACTGAGTACGAGACTACTGACATCTATCCGCTTCAGTAAACAGCTGATAGCACTGCTAAGTGCTAACATATAAAAATAAGCTTAACCCTGTAAGCTTTATCACTACCTTGTCAGCAGTGTTTTCCAAACATGCCCAAAATCTGAGACATGGAGATGGTGATGAATACTCTACTGAGCTTGGCAAGCTGCGCTCTCCTGTTCAAGCTCTCAAAATTTTAATCAAAGTGTTACATATAAAAGCTCGACAGACATTTCCTGCTGTCACATTGCACATTTCTCTGATCCATGTTATGCCATCTACAGGCAGTCGGTAAATACATTTTGTTAGAATTAGAATAGCACAGACAAAATATATAACCCACTCAGGCACTAACAGTCACAGACTTGGCTTCAGAAATTTAGATGGCTTTCGGAAAGAAAAGTTTCAGTCAGTAATACATCCCGAGGAAAAAAAAACATTCACTGCATTCAAGATATTAGAAAATAAAATAAAATAAAGTTACACTACATGTTCGCTGGCTAAGCTATAGCCTGCAATACAACTGGTAATGACTAGAAAAGAGGGCTGTGTACTAGTCACACCCTTTACCAAGGAAAAACTAAAGGTAGAATTCTCCATTGATAGCAATATGTACCCTCTAAGAGCATCTCACTACCAAAGGTGAAATGCTCCCGCTAATTACATTCATTTATGAACAGGACAATTGGTGAGATACAAATTTATAAAGCTTTAAACACAGGCCAGAGCTCTTGCCTCACAGCTTTGTACAAGAAAATATGAGGTCAGATGCACAGAAGATGTTGATAGGTGCTTTTGCCTATGATTTAGAGAAAAACAAAGACCTAAGATCCTAAAAGTTAGCTCTCTGGGGTAGGGTCGGTATCTGATTTGGGAAGAGGTACATTCCCATTCATTCTTGCCCGAGCCTCCGCAAACATCCTCTGCTGCTCAGCAGCAGCTTCTTCCTCGGTCATCTCGGCAGCGTTGCCCCACTTACCACCACCACCACCACCTCGAACTCCATCTTGCTGAGAAAAATACAAACATCGATTATTCAAAAAATAGCTAGAGCAAATACTAAGCCTGATAGGCCACCAGGATCAGTGCAATCTTTAAAGTTAACTTGGAAAAGAAGAATCACCATTGTCTCCACTTTATGTTGTTCGTATGCAGCATAAACATCTTCAATGTACTCCCCAAAACCAAGAACCTGAATGATAAACATGATGAAACCATGATCTGTCTAAACTCAGAACGAATAAAATAGTAAGACAAGAAAAAATCAATAAAAGAACAAATACAAATCATTAAGGTGACACAATCAGTTCAAAACACAAATCAGCTTCCAGATATCAGAACAGGCAGAATAGATATTAATGAAAAGCAATGTAGATGTAACTTTATCAACATAAAGAGGGGGGCCAAAGGCAATAACATTAGATGCTAAAAATTATTTTGCTCCCAACCCTCTCTACATGAGTCAACAAGATTGGAAAGAGACCGATAGAACTAAGAATTTGTGCCCAAAGAGCCCACTACAACACAAAAGAACTGCAACCTAAGGGAAAGAAACTGATCCAAACTTCTTTCAACTTAAGAAAGATTGAGAATCTTTCCAGAAATCCAGGAGATTGCCACAAAATTTCCCCTGGTGAAGGCCTACAATGACGGCTACAACCGAATTGATAAGGCAAAACGCCATTAGGAGGTAGCATCTTTGTACAAGCTATGTACACTACAAAATTCTCACATCTACTTGTTACAAGCTACCAGAGTTGTCTCACTAAATCACTAGTCACTATCAAAACAATCATGGCCAACCTGCCAAGCTTCTATACCTGCCCAGAGTATTGCAGTATCTATTCACCTATCCCATTAATCATCTATTTTAACTTCAAAACTGTAAAAGGTCAAAGAAATTCATCAACAATCTTGTGTCCTTGACTCCCCAAAATAACAAGGAAAACCAATTCAACTTATAGATACCACACAGGACACCAATCATACAAAAAAGAGACCTTTAGTATATTTCAAGGAGAGAGACAGATGGTTTAGAATTTATAACAAAAATACCTCCAAAGCCTTCAGTACATGCTCAGGTGCAATTGTTCGTTTTTCTTCTCTGTTGCAAACGTCATTTGATTCTGATGAAACAAGATTTATAAACTCTGAAAGAATGAGATTCTGTCAGTATAAAAAGCAACTAAAACCACAGAAAATACCTTAGATACTGCAAATGAAGGGGCTTCACTCCACAAATAAACAGTAAAATGCAATTTGGAAGCATGGTATCCAACACCAACTAGCAGAAACATAAACAAAATAAAAATAACCACACAAATAAGGCCTTTTGATATAACTAAAAGTATTAAATTTGAAGAAGAAAATCATATACTCACCAACACAACATTCAATTAATAGATCTTGAGCATCTCTAGCCACACGAACATCTGGGGGCAACATCTCCTTTATTATTTTAGTCATTGTAGCTGGAAACAAGTAACAACATGTATTGAAAACTCAATCAAGTCACAGAATATAATGACTATTGACTAATTCTATTCAAAACCATGGTAATTAAAGTTTAAAATCTTTTGGAATTAAGTCACAAAGCTAGCTGCATACTAAAAATTTAAGTAACAATTAAGCTTTAAGACATACTTTGATGCTACCATAATTCCATAACGAATGTATAATCAGAAATAAGACATTTGGGAAAAAAAAAAATGGCAGTGCATAGCATTTCCTGAAACCACAAGGCCCCTACTTATGATTTTCAAATCCCAAATAGTCACGAAAATGCTTTAGTCTGTTAATATGCTTATATGCATGCTTGAAAATGCAGTGCAATCAAGAACAAGAGGAAAGAGATAACACCTAATCAACTTTATACAGGCCTTATTAATCCAACACATTACGCCAAGCATTTAGCTCAATGAAGGAATGTTAGAACAATTGCATCATACAATTGAACCGAACAAAACAATATTACTCCGTATAACACTATCGTTATAACACTATCCAATGATCTTACATGTTAGCTCGAGAATACTTTAAAGAAAATCAAGAGTAGGAAATTCAAGTTATTTATCAAGGGTGGCAGAATTACCTTTAGGGAGTGAAGCATCTTCTTTTGCCTTCCCAACTATGTCCATTGGCTCCATCATACAAATACACGGCCTACAAGTAGAAGCACATACACATCATACTCGCCGTCATCCCGACACATCGTAACTAACAAATTAGCATCAACACAACAACAACAACAACAACAATAACAAAGCCTTAATCCCAATATGATTTGGGGTCGGCTAACATGAATCGTCATAAGGAACCGTATGATAATAGAAATTTTAGAATCTCCTTCAAAGTGTTTAAAGATAGCAATAATCCGCCTTTTCTCGTAATATCTTTCAACCCTCACATCAGTCAGATCAAACTAGGCTAATCCTAATTCACATAAAATATCGTACTCAAAGAATTGCTAGATTCTATTTAATCAAAACCAGTTTCAGATAATAAATGAGAAAAATTGCAAATTGGAAGTAACCTCTTCGAAAATAAACCCTAAATCAAATTAATTCTGAAAAAACAAAACAAATCACAATCAAATTAGGTATATAGAAAACTAACCAGAAAGATCGTAAAAGAGGTGGAGAGTTGAACCGATGAGAGGCGCCGGAGAAGAGGGGAGAAAGAGGGAAAGTCACCGGAGAACGGTGGAGTTTGGCGGAGATTTTAGGGTTTCAGAAATTTGCGAAAATTTGGGGGACTTTTAAACTATGCAGTTTTAATTAATTTTTAGAAAATAATTTTTTAAAAAAAATTTAAAAAGAATTAGAATTGGCAAAAGTGGTGTTGTTTTGTGGATTTTTTACGAAACTAAGCCTTATCAGTAAACTATTTACGAATATAGACGCGTGGCCAAACTATTTACGAAATTGAGCTTTCTGAGGTAAAACGCTGCCTCGGTCAGCGTTTTTCCTCATTTTTATTTATTTAATTTGTTTTGAATTATGTATTTTGTGAAATACAAAATAAAAAATAAAAAAAAACTGAAATACACAAAAACGCTGCCTCAGTCAGCGTTTTTGTGTTAGGCTATAACAGGCCTTAAAACGCTGACTGAGGCAGCGTTTCATTAATACTAGAAACACGCTGCCTCAGTCAGCGGTTTTGCCTGGTATATTCTTCCAGGCAGACGCAACGCATTCACTCTTCCTCAAAACTAAAAACTCAAACTCACTCTTCCTCACGCAACGCATTCACTCTTCCTCAAAGCTCTGCCGCCGCCGCCTGCTGCCTGCCACCGTCGCCGCCGCCTACTGCCTGCTGCCGCCGCGCCTCTCCTCTTCTTTATAATCACATTTTTGGTACTTCTCACTTATTTGTTTTTAAAATTTTAAAACCTAGGTTAGTTTGATAATTATATAGTACATTGTTTTAATTTGATAATGTTGTTGATTATTCTAAGTTATTTTGATGTAAATTGATAATTATGTTGATAATTCTAAGTTAGTTTGTTGTAATTTGATAATAGTTTAGTATAAAAGCCCTAAATTGATGTTAGTTTAGTAAGAAAGTTTATGATGAAATTGTGGAAATGTTTGGTAAAAATGTTGAAAATGTTGATGAAATTGTTGATATTGTTGATGAAATTGTTGTTTTAATTTGATAAAATAGCCTACATTGTCGTTTAATTACGAAAATTATGTTATGTAGAATACGTTGGTTGTTAGTGTGAATATGTTCGTTGTGTACTTTGTTTTGGTTGTTATGTGAATTGGAACAATGATGGTTAATTATGTTTGTAGTGTGAATTTCTTGGTTGTTATTGTGCGAATTGGTGGAGATTGCATGCAATTAAGATGTGTTTTTGGTTGTTGTATAGAATATGGCTGCACAAAACGCAGCTTTGTTATGCCGATGGGGGGGTGAATTTGTGTCTGATGGACCGAATGTCCAGTATAGTGGTGGAAATATGGAACCATTGCCACTTGGACCAGACATGACTTTCAACGATATGATGAACGAGGTTCATAGCATTATTGGCTTAAACCGAATGAATGTACAACTTAACATTCAAATGAGGTTTGAGACTAATAATGTGGTTCAAGTGTTACCTTGTTCTAACGATAAACATTTGAAAGCTTTGAGGAGCGTTGTTTTAATGAGGGGTTATCCACATGAGATATATGTAGAAATAGTGTCTACGTGTACGCAACAAAGTACTCGACCAGATCAACAAGCTACCTATTTTTTCGGTTACACAGAGTCCTTCCGAATGCCCTCACAAGACATTCCATCAACTGAATATGGGATGGGGTCCTTCAGTAGACTGCTTCATGACGATCGGTTCCAGATGCCGTTGAGTTCACATATAGCTTCACCTGTATATGGTGGAACATCTACGACAATGTTTGGCCAATCTGGGCCTTCGACATCGAACACAGTTATATCTTCTCCCATGCAACTCCAAAGTTATTCACCTACGCAGCATGATGATCATACATCACCGTCTCAACCATTGGTGAATCATCTTGAAAATCTACAACATATGGTGAATAACGAGTTGTCTCTGTATGATGCGCTCCGGGAAACAAATGATGAGGCTGAGAGCGAAGAGGAGGAACCAATTCTGGATAACATGGATGTTGATTCTACAGACATGGAAGGTGGGGAGGCCATGGTTAGAACTCCTATTCCTTGGTTAAGTCAAGTAAATGAGAATTATGAGGTTGATCAATATTGGGCCGAATCAGGTAGTCATACAACATTTGTGATCGGGGGGGAGTTTGAGAAGGGTATGTTCTTTGAATCTAAGAAACTGCTTCAGGAAATGGTGAAGAAGTATTCTATACAAAGGAACCAATTCTACACCACAGTGACCTCGAATGAGAAGGTCCTTCATCTGCGGTGCAAGAAGAATTGTGGTTGGTCGCTACGAGGCACCAAAAAAAGTGAGCACTCAGATACCTTTACCATAGTCACATACAAAGGCCCGCACCGGGACACATGTGTCACTGAAGTGTTATCTACAGATCATGCACACTTGGATTCATCCATAATTTCCGATTTTGTGAAGTCTTTTGTGCAGAAAGATCCATGCTTGAAAGTTGAATTTATACAGGAACTCATATCCAAGCATTTTCAGTTCGACGTTACTTATCGAAGAGCATGGTATGCTAGGGAGAAAGCCATAGCTGAAGTATTTGGAGATTGGGAGAGTTCTTATAGCCGACTTCCGCACTTCATGGAAGCACTCAAACAGTCAAACCCGGGAACCGTTGTTGTATGGAAACACAAAGCTCTGGTAGACGATGTTTATTACAGCAACATGGAAGTGTTTGAACGAGTATTTTGGGCCTTCGGCCCTTGTGTTGAAGGTTTTAAACATTGTATGTCTGTCATCTGTATCGATGGGACGCATTTGTACGGGAAATTTAAAGGAACATTGTTGGTTCCTACAAGTGTGGATGCAAACTTCCAAGTATTTCCGCTTGCATTTGCGTTAGTCGAAGGGGAAAACATTTCCAGCTGGTCTTGGTTTTTGGGCTGCATTCGGGTTCATGTCACTCAACGGGATGGCCTCTGTGTTATATCTGATCGACATGCTGGGATCATTGCAGCAATGAATGACCCTAACGTTGGATTCACCGAGCCGCGAGCCTATCACAGGTTTTGTGTTCGGCACTTGGCTTCTAACTTGAAGACTCACGTGCGAAGAAACGACATGAGAGATATGTTCAAGGCTGCTGCGTACCAAAGGCAGGAAAGAAAACTGGTAGCTGATATGAGTTTGATCGGTCAGGCGTGTACCAAGGCCATACAGTATATTGTCCAAGTGCCCTTGCCTATGTGGTCTTTGTTTCACGATGCTGGTCGCAGATATGGGATATGTACTACGAACTTCTCAGAAACATTTAACAATGTGTTGAAGGGTGCTCGATTTCTACCTATCATGTCCCTTGTTGAATTAACATTCCACAGAGTCAATAAGTATTTCACTGATAGAAGGGAATTAGATCTGAACAGGGACTTGCATACTCCCCCAAAGTCACATCCATTATGGAGAAAAACATTGCAAAGACTAGATATCACAAAGTGGAAGCGTATAACCGTCGACTGCATATATATCAAGTTGAAACAAAGAGGGGAGATAGAATTGGTAGAAAAGGAGGCCATAGACATACTATTAACTTTCAGTTAAGAACGTGCACATGCAATAAACCACGGATCTTCCACCTCCCATGTTCTCATGTTCTAGCAGTTTGTGTGAAGTATTCGATATCAGAGCGGCCATGGGTGGACCGGGTACTGCAATCAGAGGCCTACGCAAACACATACGCTCCCCAATTCTGGCCTATCCCTTGTGAGACGACATGGAGAGAGAATGGAGGGCCTAAACTCATTCCCGACAACAGCATGGTACGAGGACAAGGTCGCCCTAAGTCAAGACGCATACGCAATGAAATGGATGAGACCAACCGTCCCGCGAGCAAATGCGGCCTCTGTCACCAGCAGGGTCACAACAAGAGATCGTGTCCCTCTAGATCGACCGGGCACTAATTTTTTTATTTTTTCTGTTATCTAGAGTGATGTAGTAGAATAGTACGGTGATTGTATTTCTACATTTCAAATGATTGTAACAGTTGGATTTTTAGATTGAAGTATGAGATTTGAAATTCTGTATTTTGTTATCGCTTATATGTAATTTTTACTTTATAATTGTTGGATTATAACTGTTTATGAACAGATACCATGGACATCCGAGATAGGACACCCGAGATGGGAGTCCGGTGTCTGGATCTGCGTTGGCCGATCCCCCAGGTTATGTAGCTCAGGTTCTCGGGGTTCAGCCAGGACCGGACGATATCAGGGGCAGCGGATTGAGGACCGGCTGGATACGCGACACTTTTCGTGTGTTGCCTGATGGTGCTGATGAGGCCACTATTGCGAGACATGCTCGAGCGTACCTTTTTCTACTCATCTCGGGTGTGTTTTTCGGTGGCAAGAGTGGCAGCCATTTACAGATCATTTATCTGCAGCTGGTAGACCACGACTGGGAGCATATTCGTGGCTACAGCTGGGGCAGTGCTTGTCTGGCGATGTTGTATTGCCATTTGTGTAGAGCATCCCGCCGGGGTTCTCGTGAGATCAGCGGACCGTTATTTTTGCTTCAGGTAACCTACCTATCTGTTAACAAATTAATTCGGAAAGTTCTTACTTAGTTTACAATTAACCTAGTTTTGTGTGTTTAATGTCCAGTATTGGTCTTGGGAGCACATCCATGTAGGCAGGCCAGGTAGGCCTGCTATACATCGTCAGGGACAGCAGGATCAGGACCAGCAGTATGAGCGGTACATTCCTCCACCACGGCCTTCCGCTGACGAGGCGTACGCTTGCAGATGGGCGGTCCCTAAGCTGACATATGCGCATGCGGCGAGGGGCCTGCCGTACTACCGAGACGCCCTTGATCGACTGACCGAGGATCAGGTGAAATCTTTAATTTGTTTATGAAATTGTTATTTATTATGTATACTCTTAACATATTTAATATGCACTAACCTGTTTATTATGTTACTTTTTATGTGTTATCGCAGATGACATGGGACCCGTATGAAGCTGATTTAGTTGCTGCCATGCCTCCACATCTGCTAGATCATCTGGCGGACGGAGCATGCCAGTACATTGACTTGTGGCATCGACGGTTGGAGTTCGTCGTCACTGGTGACCCCATCCACGGCGTTATGGATCCATACATGGAGTGGTACATGCGGATTACACGGCGTTTCATCAACCCCAGCTACACACCGCCATCCGCACATTACCATCCATCCTTTGACGTGATCAGGGGATATGTAAGTGTATTTGATTAACTTATCTTTATCAATTTTAAATTTGTATATCATTCAACTAACTCATCCTTAATTACTGTAGGCGTTGGATATGACGGCGATGGTTGACGCACTGTCGGACGTCCTTCCAGGCATACCTGAGCCGCCCAGAGCACAGGTCGAGCGGGTGCGAGATATGGGCATGGCTACCTTGCAGAGATATGGTCACGCCTATCTCGTCCACCCCCGGGACGATCATGGCGGCCACTCTAGGCACTCACAGTTCGAGGCTGGCCAGAGTAGCTGTGGGGGTGATCCTTCGTCATTCACGGGCGCAGAGGAGTACGACATTCGCAGTTCCGCGCCCCTACGTCATCCTGATGACCCATCTTCTAGCCAGCTGACTCCGCCAGTACGCCCGAACCCATTTACCACGGTCCGTCACTACAACCGTCGTCAAAGGCCGAGAGTGGACATACAGGATAGAGAGCCGTTACACCAAATTGATGAGTCAGAATAGGATAGAATTATTTGATTTATTTGCTGTAATGACCTTCTCTAGTTTGTTGTACATAGCACTTACATTACATTATTATTTTAATAATTATTTGAATGAAATTATGTCTTGTTTGAATTTCAAATTCCTTATTTGTCCACGTTTGACTCATTTCGTTCAAAATAAATTGTGGATGCGGAGGTGGTGGATGTGGAGGAGGATGGGTGGTGGAGGTGGTGGATGTGGTGGATGTGGTGGATGTGGAGGAGGAAGGTGGTGGAGGTGTTGGAGGATGTGGAGGAGGAGGGTGATGGTGGTGGTGGATGTGGAGGAGGAGGGTGGTGGATGTGGTGGATTTGGAGGAGGAGGGTGATGGTGGTGGTGGTGGATGTGGAGGAGGAGGGTGGTGGTGGTGGTGGATGTGGAGGAGGAGGGTGGTGGTGGTGGTGGTGGATGTGGAGGAGGAGGGTGATGGTGGTGGTGGATGTGGAGGAGGAGGGTGGTGGTGGTGGTGGATGTGGAGGAGGAGGGTGGTGGTGGTGGTGGATGTGGATGTGGAGGAGGAGGGTGGTGGAGGATGTGGAGGAGGAGGGTGGTGGTGTTGGTGGATGTGGAAGGGGGCTGCACTGGCTGCTGTTGGGGGCCTGCTGTTGCTGCCTTCAGCCAACAGACAAAACGCTGACTGAGGCAGCGTTTTATGCTTAGGTGTAAAACGCTGACTCAGTCAGCGTTTTTCTCTGTTATGGATACAAGAAAAGTCAGCGTTTTTACTGTATTTCCATTTTTTTTTTTAAATTTGTATTTTACATAATACGAAATTTTATAAAAAAAATAATAACCAAAGGTAAAACGCTGACCGAGGCAGCGTTTTATCAGAAGCTCAGTTTCGTAAATAGTTTGGCCACGCGTCTAGATTGGTAAATTATTTGCCAATTAAGCTTACTTTTGTAAAAAATCCTTGTTTTGTTTGGTCAAAATATAATTATAGTGGCTCTGTTATGATTGTTTTAAGATTGGGATAAGGACAGTTAATTAAAAGAGGTGCAAACGTCCATATTATTAAATTAAACTTGTTCTATACGGTTCTCGAGTTCTAGTGCCTCAACAGTGAACACTTATCACTTTTTAAGTACTTCACTAGTGTGTGGAATCAGATGATACTTTGAATAATTTCGTTTTTGTATTAGACGTGTTAATAATTTTTTTACATGGTAAATTTGAAAATAATGACAACAATTACTCATTTTGGTTTTTTTTTTTGTTTTATATTACATTATAATACTAGGTTAAATCCCGTGCCATGCACGGTCATAATTAAACTTTACAACAAAATTTATAAAGAATGGTGTTAATTCAACAAATTTATCCAAAAAAATATATGTAACAAAATAATAGTCTCTAATTAAAAATATTGATGGTCAAAGTTGTGTCTCAACAAATATGCAAATCCAACCATAACTTATAAAAAAACGGAGGAGTATAATATAATAAAATGATTTTGTTAAGTTGTTCTTATAAACGTTTATATTTTTAAGATTTATACAAATTATCCTACCAATATTATTATTCCTATTTTTAATTAAAATAAATTTTAAGTCGGAGGAAAAAAAATTATAATAATATTATGATAATCTTGGATGATGATATATGTCAATACCTTAATTTTAAACTATGTTAATATATTTGTAACTAAAAAATTTATAGTATATAAAATATATGTTGAAAAATAAAAATAAAAAATAAATTAATTGAGTATGATTGGATTAAATGTGTTGTCAAAATGGAAATAAGTATTATGGTAGGTTATAAAATGAAAGTCATTAAAACTTGGCAAAAAAAAAAAAGGCGGGAAATTATTTTATAACATCGTGACAAGTGTCACTTTAGGTTCGCTTTTATTATAGGTTAATTGACTTGTACTATATGTAACGAAGGTAGTATTTAATATTTATACATAAATTTTGGTATGGTTTGGCTTTCTTTTGAAAAATCGAATTTAAAACGGCATGATTTGGTTCAATTTCAATTATAATATGGTCGATGTGGTTTGAAAAATCCAAATTAATGTGGTTTGGTTTTGGTTTAGGCTATAAACGATACCGTAAACCGAACTTTATGTTATATTTTCTTCTTAAAGGTACTGATTTTACTAAACGAAAATTAATTTTACAAAACTGAACTTATTTTTACCGAACTGAAATTAATTTTAATTAATACGGAGTATAAACTATTCTATTAACTATTACTAAAACAGAAATCTGCTGACATCGTCTTCTCGCTCAAATGTATATGTGTCACTTTCTCATGAATTTTTTTCCCGCCAAATGCACTTATGATATCATATATATTTTGTTTTTATTTTTTTTTGAATTGGTTATTTTTTTTATTTTTAATCATTTTCATTTCAATCTTTTGACTGTGTCAATAAACAGATAAATTTTATTTTTGGTTGGAATAAATAAATTGCTATATAGTAGGGATGGCAATGGATTTGGACCCGACCGGATCCGTGGATCCAGATCCGTTTTTCACGGACCTGGGACTTCAAATTTTGGACCCGACGGATCCGGGTCCTACTGACAAAAAAGGACTAGACCCGGATCTAGATCCGTGGACTCTTTTTTTATTTTTCCTATTAAAAAAATTAAAATTGTTTGTATCTTTATTAAAAATGTTGATAATGTTAGTAATGTTAAAAATTAACCCTTTCAAGAGATGAATTTTGGATGCTCATATTATATACATCATCGTTGTTTTTTCACTAGCTCATATGTAACATCGTATTTTTGTTGTTGATTATTATTTTAATTCAAAATATGAGGGTATAAGTTGGTTAATTTGGGGTTGAACTTAATAACCAACAACGTAAGTTTGAAATAAATTTTTTGCCGAACATTACATTTATTGCAAAAAATTAGGCAAAATATATTGGACCCGTTTTGGACCCGGATCCGTTGGTCCCGAGGATCTTCATTTTCTAGACCCAACGGATCCGGGTCGGATCTGGATCCTATATACAAAAACGGACATAGGATCTGGATCCGAGTCCATCCGGACCCGATCCAGATTCGACCCGCTGTCATCCCTACTATCTAGAAATTGGCTTTCATTTTTATATTTTGTTACTCATGTTATTTATGACGATAGCTTCATATCTTTTATGATTTAATTTATATGTATATAAAATAAAATAAATAATAGAAATAAGCTATTTTATTTCAATAATTTTTGTAATCCGTGCATCGCACGGGTCTAATCTTGTTTAATTCTAGCTAAGATGGAAATGCATGTGGTTTTTATTCAATACGGTTTAGGTTTCAAATCTCTTTGCATGAATTTTTAATTTAATTTGGATAATTGAATGATGATGTGGCATGATGGTAGAGGTTATTGAATGATGATGTGGCGTAATACGGGTGTAAGAAGGGGTACACGTGGGCACGTGGCACATACACAATTTTATAAACGCCTTTTTTAATATATAGTATAGATACTCCTTTCATATTTTATTATTTGTATTTTTTTTTATTTTTCTTTTGCCATTTGTATTTTACACTTGCTCAGGGGCAAAACTAATGCGGTTTAAAACTAAGCCAAACCAAATGAGAAATGTGGTGCAGATTTTTTTTTTTCATATCGTTTGGTGCGATTTGAGGCATTCCAAAATCGAATTAATATGGCTTGTTTTCGGTTTTGAGATTGAAAAACCAAAAGCCGAAATCCAAACCGAATTACGGCCCATATACAAATTTATATCATAGCCTTATACTAATTTCTATCCTACATATACGCCAAAATTGGGTTTCATTTATTTCCGAGAATGTCAATTAATGTGGGCGATGTTGGAGTGAATGATTAGTTAAATGGAGCAAACAAGAAGAGGATGAAAAATTTTGGTATGGTTTGGTTTTCTTTTGAAAATCGAATTTAAAATGGTGTGGTTTGGTTCAATTTCTATTATAATATGGTGCGATGTGGTTTGAAAAATCCAAAAACCAAATTAATGTGGTTTGGTTTTGGTTTAGGCTATAAACGACACCGTAAACTGAACTTATGTTATATTTTCTTTTTTTTTTTTGACGGAATATTTTCTTCTTAAAGGTATTGATTTTACTAAACGAAAATTATTTTTACAAAACTGAACTTATTTTTACCGAAATGAAATTAATTTTAATTAATATGGATTATTAATTTTTGTAAGGTGAACTGAACAGGACTCTAAAGATTATAAACAACGATCCAGCCCAAAATTAAGGCGAGATTTGGCCTGCTACTTTTTACGGTTTAGTCATGACCTGCCCGGCCCAAATTTTTGATCACCTCACTATGAATTATGGAGATTCGGTTTCTCTTACTCAACAAGACTTCTAGAGCGCAACGGGCAATAAGTTACCAAACAACCAACTAGTCTTTCTCTTTGTTAAAAAATAAAAATAAAAAATAAAAAAAACTAGTTTCTTGCTCAGCAAGACGCTTCTAGAGCACAATATATTGCAGATTAGTACACCGTTCCACGTTTTCTATACAACAAGCAAACCAATTTGGCCCTCAAAATTATTCATTATTCCCCATTAATCTCGTTTGCTTTAGGTAAATTTCTGCTTTATTTCCGTGATTAATTCTCCTACTTCACTTTAGTCATGAATTATTATTCGTTTACTATTTCTCGTAGTAATTAGTAATTTTTCTAAATTGTTGCTTTCCTTCTGTAACTGATTGTGTTAATTCTAAGAATTTGTTTTGTTTGATTTTTCATTGAGACATTTTGTCGAGCATCTGGTGTGCATTACAAGGATTACTCCATTCGTATGTATAAAGTACCACTGCTTTATTTAGGTCCTGGAATTCTTGGATGTTATAAGAATGATTTTAGTAATTTAAATTTCAAAGTCTTGAATATGATTAATTAATTAATTAATTAGGTTTCAGGGATTTGACAAGCATGATCATGAGATTAATTTGGCAATTTAATAAAACTTGCAGTTTGAGGATCATATTAAGGCTCCATTTGTTTTGATGGAAAACATTTTAAGAGAAAAAAAAAAAAACACGATTGTAAAAATAGCTGTGTAGTGAAGAAATAATGGGAGTGGAAGGGAAACATATGGATTGGAGGAGAGGAAAAGGATGTTAGTTGTAGAGAGGATAATGTGACATTCCATCTTTTCATTCTTGGGAAAACTATTTTACACCTCTAACAAAATTGGTTTGAAATTTGTTTTCCACCCAAGACAGTATTACAAACCTAGCTATGAAAAATGGGAAAATCATTATCGTAGGTAATGTTTTTTTATCAAAACAAACAGAGCCTAAGACAGTCATAATAAGCGTATTGGTTGGTTTTATGGTTATAACTATAAGCATATCATGGGGTTTTTTTGGGGGATCTTGTGAACTTGTAGAGCTCATTTTTGGGTTATTTAGGGATGTTGAAATTTTTGTCATAACTTTTGAATATGCTTATGGGATTTGTTTCATCTTGATTAAGATGTTGTGAGATATTGGGTAAATGCTTTAATATAGTTGAATTTTTGTGCTTACTTTGGTTTGTTGGGGTGAGTGGGAATCCTTGATATTAACCCTGCTTTCGAATTAGAAAATCTTTCTCATGGTGGGGTGAAACGAGTGTGTGTGTGTGTTTTTTTTTTTTTTTTTTTTTGGGGGGGGGGGGGGGGAGGGTGTTATAATGATAAATTCTAAAATTGTAGTGTCAAATGGTAAGAGTGGAAGCATATGATTCCATGGTGTTGTCTGATAATATGTTGGATTAAAATTAAGCAACATTGTGTATTCGGCCGTTGGCCACCTTAGTGTTTGACAGTTGAAGAACATTCGGTTACTTGAGGTGCGGTTAAATTGTTAATATATCTTAAACAAGAAAATCCATAAAGAATACCATTATAGCTTAGTGTTGAGCTGTTGAGTGTTGTAGGTCATGTTAATGTATCATGTTACTTGAGGTGCAGGTGCAGTTGAAAGTGTATATGTATCTTACATGGGAAAATTCATAGAGAATACCATTATAACTTAGTCCACTTAAAATGTATCACTAAGCTTGATTAGGGACTGGTGGCTACATGCCTGAATGTTATGAAGAGAGAATTGAAGTTAGCGGATTTGTTGAGGAAAAATAGTAACTTGCTAGACTATTGCACTCAAAAAAACCAATGGGGGTTGCTAGGGAAATAGGAAAACTTCCTATAGTTCTACCAGATGAAGGTTTAATTAACTTCTTTTATACTTCGTATTAGTGCATCTTGAATCATGGTTAAGAGTATCCTTGCCTAATATATTTGGAATGAAGTACTTGCATGATATTCACTTCTTGCCAGGGAAAAAAACCCAGTTCTGTGCTTGTGTAAGTTGTCATTTTAGTCCAATGCACGCCAATTTTTTTCTGCATCCTTTTAGCTAAAGGCTCTGTACAGCAAGCATACGGTTTATCTCCTTCTTAGATGAACATGATTAGGCTTAATGTTGGCTCACTGTCTCATATCTGAGCATATTCAGATATTCAATCTAGTGTCAAACCTTTGAACACAGGTTGACATGGAAGCCCAGAAGAGTGAATCTGCAACGAAACCTTCTACAAGTGCACCTGCTGCAGCAGCCACTTCATGCCGGAAGAAGAAGAGCGAAGAAGCAGCTTTCCTTGAGGATATAAAGGACCACATTGACGAGTTTGTCCATGCCTCAATGGATGAACACAAGGAATGCTTCAAAAAAAACCATCAATAAGGTTTGATTACATATCCCTTTCATCATATATTAGACTTGTGTTTCTTCAAAAAAAAAAAAAAAAAAAAAAAAGACTTATGTTCTGTTATCATTCTGAGCTGATATGTTTCATCTGAGTTCTTAACACGTTAGAATTTCCTGTTATTGCAGATGTTTGGGTTGTCAAGGAAAGTTGCAGAGAAAGAAAAGAATGCTGAACAGCAGGAAGTCGAAAGTGTTCTGCCTCTTCAGACAACAATTTCAAACTAGACTGATAATCATTAATTGCAGAGTAGTTTATGGTTTCTTATCTTTCAGATACAGTATGGAACGGCTCATAGTTTAGAATGGAGGTGTATGGTGTTCTTTGCTTGCTCTATGATCACTACACTGGTTTAATGTTTATATATATTGTCTAAATCCTAAATGTGAATGATGTTTCTACTTGGAGTTGATGGCAGATTAATAAAGAGTGTTACTAATACGTTTAATAGTAAATTATTAATGAGTAACTTTTCATTCCCTGCTTATCTTTCCTTAGTCCTCATAGAGGACTTCCAAGTTATTATAATTGGGGGTGTCTTTATTAGCATATCACCGCCCCATATATCCAAAATTGTATCTGCTGTTAGTCGTCGACCTGTTTCACAAAATACCTTGTGATATGCATTTAAATTTTTAAGCATCTCACACAGTTAATAGAAACTTGTAATTCTTAATTCGCATATTAAGCCATGGACAAAGTTAATCATTTACTCCCTAACATATGTCATATATTCGAAAATCAGATTGGCCTATACAAAGAACATCCAAGTATCTAAGCAACTTGAGGCGCATAAAGAAGATGCTCATTCTTTTCTTCTCACTCCACAGCTCCATCCACTCTCCCAAAATGATTAAAATATGATGCAAATATCAGTCACTCTTTAGAATAAGGTATGTAATTCTATAGTGTTGGATCACTAGGAAGGAATCTAATAGTTGGAACATGAAAAGGCGTTGGTACAAAGCCGTATCAGTACAATTGCTTCATCAACTTGATGCAATATCAAAGTATTCTATAATCACAAACGTATTGTATTTGTACCACGTATGACCGTAAGTCCATAACATCATATGCCCATCTGGTCTTCAATTCATGAAGTCAATAACAGCAACCTGTAATGGCTGTAAGCCCTTCCCTGCTATCAGAACAAACAAAATTATCAATAGAGAAGAATCATGAAGGACAAATGATGATAAGAAAGAATGCACCAGTAATAGATCCTCACGAAAATGCAGCACCTTAACGCCTAAATTTAATCCAAAGAAAGATTAACATAATCGTGAACATACTTATAGCAGACAAGCTTAAGGTTAAAGCCATCTAGAATGGTCCAAAAAACATCATAAATCATGTTCCACTAGGAGAATATTGTCTAGCAATTGGGATAAAAAGGGGAGAAGGAAATGTAAAATCAAAGATAAAAGGTAGAAGCCTTTGTCCAAGCTATTGAGAACTGAATAGAGCAGAAGCTTAATAATGTGCCATTATGGGACCTTTATGAATGTGACTGTAAGGAAAAGGTGATAATGCAACATTCATGCACAGATAAAAAGTTCAAAAAAGAACTTGCAGCGGTTTGTTCGTACCACCGTAGCTAGAATCACAAGTACTGATGGAAGTATATTGTTCCTTATACCTGACATAATCACCTTAGTTTCAGAAACAATAAGCTCAAAACAAAGCATCAGGTACTTGGAAAATTTCAGAGGTTAAGTTGCTGATAGCTGACCTCACTACTAAGTACTAACTAGGCTCATCCCATATAAGAAATGGAATACCTTTTCCTCGCGCCTTTAAAATTAATGTCTAGTCCTGCCACAATATAATGAGCTTAATTATTCCTGAGACTCTGACATCTTTGTCATAATAGAAGGGATGCACAGAAACAAAAGGAAAAATTATTACAGAAAGAAAGAAAAAAGAGAGGTCTAACAACATACTTAGAATACTAGCATTTTATTCTTTGAAGTGAGGACTTGGGGGATGTAGCAGTGATGCTACTCACCGACAAGATAACCGATCAAGTAGAAGCCCTTATCTCACTGGATGGAGTTTACCATATGAACAAAAAATTCATCACCCCAAATTGTAATGCAAACAATATGAATAATGTGACTAATAATTAGGTACAGCATGCCAAATGTCGTTTCAATGATTGATACATAAGATACACCATTAACAGTCACCCTCTAAACTTGTCACAGGATGTTAAGAATTGTATATTCTTATGTAATAGTGTAGTATGTATGTGTATCTGTCAACAGTCACCCTCCAAAATTATCAATTTTTACATCTAAGGTGTCAATTGCAACATTATCATAGTATTTACCATTTACTTGATACAATTCTCAACTTCTCATTAATCACATTTAGAATCCAAGATTTTTCTCATGCCCACCCAAAAATTCCATTTTGTTGGCCTGCTGCTAAAAGTTGAGGTTCCTGCTTCCATAGCCTAAAAAGTATAATAATGAGGCTGTATAAAAAATTCAGTGCTCCAAAGCACAGTTGTAAGGTATATTATCTCTAGTCCAAACTATGGACCACCGCTAGGAGAATGGAAAAGCAGGTGGAGAAGAATCTACCAGCTACTTTACATATGAAGACGACTAGTTGACAAAGATCCATTCCAACCTTCTGTGGTAAATGAGTATCTTGATGCAGCTCTTGCTCATTTTCTAGAGAGATTCCTGGGAAGATGAAGTATACTTTGAGTTAATGGGTAGGTATCGTCATACTGCACCAAATAAAAAAAAATCAGTAAAACCAATGGATAATTTTTCTCTTCTTTCTAAAACTAAATGCATGCAATACAGCATAAAAAACTTATTTAACAATATGTTTCAGTTCTCATCCATTATTAGTTTTGGCAAATCAGTTATTACCCTCAAGAGATTTAGGGAGAACAATAAGATCTTGTTTGTCGTATTATTTTTACTGAAAGGAAGATGCCACAGGTACAAGCCCAAAGGAATAATCCAATCACAGTCACAACTCACAACCTTCCAACTTGTAATTTCCAGTATACATATCTTGTCCACTTGTAAGATTATTCCAAAAAAAAAAAAAAAAGCTTAATATGTTGGGGCTCATTTAAGCAACTTGTAGAGAGAATCAAACTCTTATCATATTCATAGACAATCTTCAGATAATATGGTCTTATTTTTACCATAACTTTTTGTGGGGATATTTAGGTTCTTTCGAAAGATCCTCTTCCTGTGTTGACATAAAACAAGATGAGATGAGCAAACACTTAAACCAAAATATCACTTAGCACCATAATTTTACCAAAGAATAATTACTAATCAATTTCCATTACCTTTGTTCCTTACACTATATGTTATTATTATACTCTAATATGGATCTTCCAATAGGCCTGCACTAGCATATGCTCTTAGAGTAGAGCAAAACATACAAGACATGGAGTATTAGCGCTAAGTTTCTAACAACAACAATAGAATAATATGAAATACTGTGGTAATCAAAATTAAGAAATCATCCTAAAAGGAACATCAATAATGTTGTCATGTAAATAAGGACAGTGTGAATACAGATTACAGAGTATTAATTAGCTTAGTGAGATAAATATGCACAAAATGCACTTATGAGGAGCATTTGCAACACTTTTCAGGGGTGGGAAAAAGAGTTGTTGATCAAGTGATAACAAAAAAAAAATCAATTCTTCTCTTGAAATTGGCTTTGCTAATATGAAAGCATCCCAGAATGTTTACCAGGGACTACCACTGCCCACTGGCAAAGAACCATGCATCCAACAAAACTCAGGACCAAAAAAATGTCAAAACTATCATGAAGAAAATTATGTTCAGTGACCATCCAATTAATGCAGATATCACATGACATGGGGTAGAGTTTGATCGTCACAACCTAAGAGGTATAATGTCTATAGGTCCAAAATCGTACTAATCATTGTGCTGAACTAGAAGTCCTTTATAATCTATTAAATTTTTCTTTATATCAGAAATACAACTGAAAAGTGCTGACAAAAAATATAAGACAAATCTCATAATCAATTAAATTGGCCGGAACAACTAGTTTCCAACACTGTTTTCTGGAATAAAAAATGATATAAGTAAGCAAATTGATCATCACATTAAAAGAACCACTTGTAGCAAATAGTATTACATATATTCTATTTGCTAGAGTGTATCAATAAGAAGGGATGAGGTCGAATCTAGAGCATCTAAGGTTATGAGCTAAATATGACATATTGTCCATTGCATGAGTATCATGAAAGCTTATACATGCAAGAGATTGTTGTATTCGTGAATCATGACACCTAAAATATGTCTAACTTCGTATAAGAAATACGTGTTTCAGTGTTTGCATGACAAGAGAAGGTTTCCAAAATCAAGAAAATACAAGAGAAAAGTGTTATTGATTACCAGTAACTGAGCAAAAAGCTCCAAGCCTCCAAGAGCCACTCAACACTGTTCCCGTCCAAATCCTGCAGAGTTAAAAATATAAGCTTAGGTTTTCAAGATTGGTTAGTCACAGAACTTTGAGAAATACAACAGTAGCAGCCATCAACTGTTTCTAGCCCTTAACAAGACCTTAGGACAGTAAAAGCTAATAAAATAGGCAAGTTAATTACATGAACTGAGCTATTACGATTCGATTGAAACCAAATTCAATAAAATACACTTACAAATTTGCTACAGAGCTAGGTAGTGCTCTTCTTGCTCATAAATCATTAACAAAAGGACCCAATCCCCCACTGAAGAAGTAGATAGTATTGTAAACTTGGACTTTAAGAAATCTCATCAGATCATGATATAGATTAAGCTGGCCAGCTGGAGAACTTTAGGACGGAGTTGAAGACAAAGTCTAGTGAAATTTCACTGCTAAGATGCAGCATCAGAAGATTATATACGAAGAATTCATCACCTATATCACTATATGCATAATTGGCTAATAATTCAGTCATGAAATTAGTATGGCCTATGGAATGAGTTTGTGACTGCAGAGACTCACATTCTGCAGAGTCAAGGATAGCAGAGCAAACTGGTTGATCTACACAAGTTTCATCCTTTTTTATGTATCCAGTAATGTTTTTCAGCCATTGATAAGTTTTAAGTTATTTGAAACTTCATACAAATACATGCAAACTCTTTTAGTTACTTTAGTGATAACATATGATGAGGACCACAACTTTTCTCTTTGTTTTTATTTTTAAATAATTGTATAGCTACTAGCTATTTTATAAACTCTAAGTCAAAGATCATATACTTTCATGGATTTCATCGAATAAAAAAGAAAACAAATGCAGCCAAATTATCTAAAATAAGACAACATGTAAAGCATGCCTGTGTGCTTGATATGGTATTGCTTTAGAATCTTATTACGATTATATGAGGTAATTTTGCTTAATTGGAATCTTAAGGCATTAATCGAACAAATTGTCACCTGTGAAACTCCGAAGCAACATGCAGGTACAAAAATCAATTAATTATTAGAGATATTTTCCTTCAGCTTTCTATCCTGCTCTACTTTTTTCATCCTGCATATTTTTTGTGGTTCTTAGGAACCAAAATCACTAAAATTCCACAATCTTTAGATTCGCCTCATGCAAAAACTTTGCCTGGTTGGCATCAGCCATCAGCCATCAGCCACCAGTCCACACTATAAATAGCAGGCATTGCAAACTCCCAGCTCATAACAAATCCTCTCTCGACTACAGCTTTTCCTTAAAAAAATAACTTCCCTTTCCATTTCCAAATACCTATAACTTCCACACTGGTTCTCATTATAGTCTTTTTTACTAAGAAGTAACTACCTTGGGCGTACTACAAACTATCCTCCTCTCTCGTTCACATTTTCTTAACTTCTTTAAACAAACAACTAAAGCTTAACTCAATAATGTCTTCTAAAGGCTGGACTCCACAACAAAACAAGGCTTTTGAAAGCGCTCTTAACAAGTACGACAAGGATACACCTGATCGTTGGAACAATATTGCCAAAGAGGTTAGTGGAAAATCTGTGGATGATGTAAAGAAACGTTATCAAGAACTCCTTGAGGACATCCAACACATTGAGTCAGGCCGAGTGCCCTTCCCTTACAATTGGAAGATGTAACCAAAGGTATGCACCATAATCCAACTTTAGAAGTTTTTCACTATATTTGACTTCTCATTGTACCACACAAATATCTTCTATGGTTCTACACTTCCACTAAAAACTTTTGGTATAAGAATCTATGCTATTCCTATATGCTAAGTGATTCCTTCCGTTTCAAAAACCATTGTCCATACACACACACACACTCGTACACATGCCAATTGTAATCTATAAGGAGGCGTAAACTAGTAAGCCTTATTAGTCAATTACATTATATACCATGTATTGCTTGAAGCATATACTACATCAAAAACCTTGAATATGAACAATTCAACCCTTATTATTTCCCTAACCAAGCATTAAATAACAATAATAACACATTTTCATACAATATTACTTCTAAACTAATAAAAACAATAACTAAATTAGTCTCTAATTATGTTTCTTAAATGAATGTGCAGGATGAAAAATACAAAAATTCAACCAAAGATCCTTATTGGGGGTGAATAAAACCGACTGTGGCTATTACACATTGGTGCTGATGATTTAGAATTTCTCGTTCTAGTTGTTTTCGCAAAATTGTTACTTCGTAAATGGTTTCATTTTTGTAACATATAGTTATATGTATCAAATACCAAAAAATGCAATGTATTGATGCTCCTAAATGCGCAAGCATGTATCAATTGGGAGCCAATCAATTGTATACAATTGTGTTTGTAATTACATAATATCTGTGCAATAGAATTATTGTTTGTACTTAAAATTCACAAATAGAGTTGTAACTCAAAACATATGAAATTGAATAATGTTTTATAATTTGAAGCTAGGGTTTGAGAAAATCTCACCTTATGCTTGGAATTCTGAAGTAAGCGCGACTGTGATTGAGTTTGATTAGGGGGAGAGAGAGAATTGAAGGAGATTTTGGGTGAGTAATTGTGAAAAAGGGCGGGAATTTCAAACCTAGTTGCAAAGTGTTTTCATGCTACTTTGAATTGGAGTAAGGAATAGAATGGAATGATTCTTTTATATAGCCGTTTGCACGGTGCACCTAAAAATAAAGTTAAGATAAAATATAATTGTAAAAATTAGAAAAAAAAAAATAATTCCAATTTTTATCAATTTTGGTAGAATAATTCTAACTTTGGATTATTCTGGAATAATTCGAATTTTGGGGGACTTCTTTTTCTTCAATTCCAAACCGGTCAACCAAAGTCAATGACCTATTATATCAGGTCATTTGACACGTGTCAAGTCCTAATTGGTATAAAAAAAATTTAAAAATTAATAAAAAAAACAAAAATAAAAACAAAAAATAAGAAAACCACCCAGCATCCCCTTCCCCCACCGAAGCATGCACCTGACCACCACCATAGCCTAGCCCGCCGCCCCACCGATCACCCTTACCTCCACAACCACAGCCCAGGCCGCCGCATCTCCCCCGCACATTGAGTCGCCGTTTTGACCTCTCCCCGAAAACCCACGCAATCACCGAAATCACCAGCCCCAAAAACCACCGTAACCCCAAATTGCAACCACGAGACCCCAAAACACTCATCCCCCGCCTTGAAACCCTAGCATCTAGGGTTTTCGATGGTGGGAGGGGAGTGTTTTGGTAGTTTTCGGGAGTGGGCTGGTGGCTTTGAAGGATTTTCGAGAGTGGGGTTGGTGGCTTTTGGGGTTTTTTAGTATAAGGGCTGGTGGTTCTTGGGGTTTGACTGGTGGCCTAGAAGTTTCGGAGAGGGGGGTGGTGGTTTGGCTCGGAGCGGCGACTTTAGGGGTGGGGAAGGCTGGAGGTCTGGTGAGGAAGGTGGCTGGCCTGGGTGGGTTGCCGGATTGGCTGGTGGTTAATTTTTTTTTTTTATAAATATTTTTAGCCAATTAATTTGTGACACGTGTCACTTTAACGAAAAAATAGATAAATTTAACCCATTCAACCGATTACCGGTATTTGGGATTGTAGAAAAAGAAGACCCCCCAAAGTTCGGATTATTCCAGAATAATCCAAAGTTGGGATTATTCTACCAAAATTGATGAAAGTTGGGATTATTTTTTCTAATTTTTCCAATATATAATTTCTCACTTTGATATTTATAGTATTTTAGTCCCTCAATTTTTAAATGACTCACTTTTAGGCACAAATTAGTTGGATCGCTTACCTTGCTTTGGCATGCCAGAAAGGTAGAACTCTTGCTTAGTGCTTGCATTAAGCATAGTTTAGGGACATTAGTGCACACGACTCACTTTTCAAGCACAAATTAGTTGACTAAGCATAGTTTAGGGATGTTAGTGCACATGTGGCAATAAATTTAATGATTTTAAAAGAAAAGTTTAGGGACCTTCAACTGATGAGTAAACATTAGTTAAATTAGAATGAAAGTTTAGGGACCTATAGGAACACATGGCTTTCATATAGGAGTGATTACAAGTTTTAATCCATAAGTGTAATTAAGTTCAATTAAATTAATTTGATTTCAACAAAGGATCTTGCTAACGAACGCCCCCGGGGCGTTGGATAAGCATTTAAAATATTGCCTAAAATGGTATTAATTTGGAAAAACATGACAAAAAATCACGTGTCAATCGGTGTAATTAATGTTCATTTTAATTTAATCTTTCTACTTTTAGCTAGCTTATCCAACGCCTCCGGGGCGTTCGTTAGCTTTTGCCTTCAACAAAACCAAATTAATTTTAGTAACAATTATTAACTTTATAAAAATTTATAAGTGAGAGATATTTTAAGTGTGAAATTCATGGTCATCATTTACTTTCTCTCACTAAAATCTTGCTATAATACGAAATTTGTTTGTGGAAGAAAAATTCCTTCTTAGTTCTAGGGCAATTATTATTATCTCCTAAAAATGCTAAATAAGAAACCCTAAAAATTGCCACACAAATACCCAAAAAATTGAAATTTATTTAGAACATAAACACAAAGGGAAAAAAAAAAAAAAAAAAAAAAAAAAAAACCAAGAAAATTGAAACCCTTTTAAAAAATAAACGCATGAAAAAAAAGTCATTTTGAAAGAAAAGTGGGGTAGTATTATTTTTTATTCTAGTTTTCGTATTTCTATTTAGTTTTATATTAAAAAGTTTGGGTTAGTTATGTCTTAATCGCTACACGATTTTGCGCTAATTGGCAAAGAGTAAAGCAATAAGTTTTTTAAAAATTATGACGTAGTGGCTCTTCGGAGGTGATGGTTGTTTGGTGGGTGGTGGGGTAACAAGTTAGAGAGTGGTTAAAGAAATTGAAAAGTGAATAGGGTACATTTTGTATGGGGCATGTTTGTAAAGTCATGTTAAAATACGGGCGTTACCCTATAAATTAAATATCGGACGTAGTTTAGCGATTCACAAAATGATATAAAACATATCATGATTATGAAATTCTATTAGCAATTTTTATTCTTGCCAACTCACTTTATAAATATTTGGTAAAAAAAAAAAAAAAAAAACCCTCACATTATAGATCGCTAAGCTATATATATATATCTTTATGAAATATCTTTATGCATCTTTTTTGGAGGAATTGGTGTCTTTGGTGTGTCGTCATTCCTTTTCGTTTTCTTCTTTGTTGTACGCAAGAAAATTTTAAGCTTATTCTTTTGTCTAAACAAAATCAAAATTACTTTTAGAACATGGGCAAGTAATTTAGAACATAATTAGAAATACTTTAGAACATAAACATAAATACTTTGGAACATATTTGAAATACTAATAACAAACCCAAATCAAAACCAATATATATAACTAGAAAACACAAACCATTAATCTTATATTAAAGTTTTACCAAATCGTCCAACATATATTCTAAACCAAAACCAATGTTTTAAATATTCCTATTATTAAGTTACATTAATACCCTTTCTTTGCTTCAACTTTCTTTTTTTCCTCTTTTTCTCCTTCCTTCTCTTCTTGCCTTTCTCCTTCTTGCTCCTCTTGTCTTTCTCCTTCCTTCGCCTCTTGCCTTTCTTCTTGATTATCCTTTTGTCTTTGTTCTTGCTTTTCTTCTTGTTCTTGAAAACATAAAGGAAAACTTTAGAACATAAGGGAAAAATAAAATTGAACATAATAGAAAACTTTAGAACATAATAGAAATACTTTAGAAAATAATAGAAAATACTTTATAATCAAAAGTACTTTAAAAGATTGACATGTTCTATAAATAATTTCAAACATATATTATAATCTTTAGAACATAATAGAGAATTTTATGTCATAATTGGAATACTTTAGAACATAAGGGAAAAATTTAGAACATAAAGAAAAAATATAATAGATCATAATAGAAAACTTTAGAACATAATAGAAAATCTTAGAACATAATAGAAATACTTTAGAACATAAGGGAAAATTTAAGAACATAAGGGAAAAATATAATAGAGCATAATAGAAAACTTTAGTTTAGAACATAATAGAAATACTTTAGATCATAACCTTTTGCCAAATCTCCTTCTTGCTCCTCTTGTCTTTCTCCTTCTTTCTCCTCTTGTCTTTCTCCTTCCTTCGACTCTTGTCTTTCTTCTTTATTATCCTCTCGTTCTTGGTCTTGCTTCTCTTCTTGTTCTAGAAAACATAATTATAAAACACAATATTAGATTATAATTGTATCATAAGAATTCGGGTTGGAACATTAACATAAACTTTAGAACATAAAGTGCAAACTTTAGAACATATAGCGTAAACTTTAGAACATAAGCATATACAAATATTCTATTTCATTTTTTTTTAGTACTTTTCCTTTTTAAAATACTTTAGAACATAAGGGAAAACTTTAGAACATAAGGGGAAAATATAATAGAGTATAATAGAAAACTTTAGTTTAGAATATAATAGAAATACTTTAGATCATAACCTTTTGCCAAATCTCCTTCTTGCTCCTCTTCTCTTTCTCCTTCCTTCTCCTTTTGGCTTTCTCCTTCCTTTGCCTCTTGTCTTTCTTTTTGATTATCCTCTTGTCCTTGGTCTTGCTTCTCTTCTTTATCTTGAAAACATAATTATAAAACACAACATAGAATATAATTGTATCATAAGAATTTGAGTTGGAACATTAACATAAACTTTATAACATAAAGTGCAAACTTTAGAACATATAGCTTAAACTTTAAAACATATAGCGTAAACTTTTGAACATAATCATATACAAATATTCTATTTCATTTTTTTTAGTACTTGTCCTTTTTAAAATCAATTAATTAAAAGAACATTAATAAGAAATGAGTTTGAAAATAATTGGAAATTACCAAGTATAGGTGAAGAGATACTATCATCTATCTTTTCATTGATATTTCTCTCATCGTTGTTCTTTTCTCTTTCTCCTTCATTTGATGGCAAATCTTCATAATAATTACAAAACACAATTTTAGAACTTAACTATATCATAAAGATTTGAGTTGGAACATAAACACTTGATTTAAGAGCATAATTTAGAACATAGGTATTATTTAGAAATTAAACATGTAATTACCATGTCCCAATGACTTTGGTGACTATTCAACATTAAATTTCTTCCATGCTATGTTCATCAACATATCCAATTCTTCTATGAATGTCGGTTCATCGAAGAAATGTTGATCTTGACTAAGTATGGAAGGACTTTTTGTCTGTTGCTTTTCTTCTTCTTGATTTACCAATGGCTATATATAAGAATACATAAGTTAGAATCCAATAAGACATTTATATATGTTGAACTATATAAATATAAAAATTACACTTTAGAACATAGGTTGAAAATAGATTAGAACATAATTATTATACCTTTGTGGTATACTTGCACCAAATGTTGTCTATAAGATGATGCATTTTCCCCGTTGTTTCTTCCTCAACAAAGATATCCTTTGCTTGTTCCAACATGCTATACATCTCTTTTACATTCGATGCAAGACTTTTTGCCAAATCTCCAAATTTGCTTAAAAAACCCTAATAATTTAGAACATAAAATAATGAATATTTAAAATATTATAGAAATAAGTAAATAAATTAATAAAAAAAAATATTAAAACATTATACCATCATATCATTTGGAGACGTGATAGAATCACATGTCATTGATTGGTTTTCCACAACTTTCTCTTTTCCTTTGTCTTTCCCTTGCTTTTTTATTACTTTCTTCTCCCCTTGTTTTTCTCTAATTGTCAAGGGTTGCTCTTTCTTCTTGCCTTTGTCATTCTCTTGCCTTTTTTCCAATCCCTTTTTAAATATACATTATAAATTTTAGAATACATGCATAAATATATTGTATAGATAAATATAAAACGATAATAAACTTTAGAACATATATTACAAAGTTTAGAACATATAGTATAAACTTTAGAACATAAGCATATACAAAAATCATACCACATTCAATTTCATTCTTTCTAGTACTTTTCCTTTTCCAAATCCAAGGTCTTTCTCAAACTTCAATCTTGTATGGAACCTTTCTTGGTTCCACAATGATATTAATGGAACTTGACGTGGTATCTCTAACCCCTTCCTTTGTACCCGATCAAAAAAGGATACCTAAAAGAACATCATTAGAAATACTTTAGAACATTGATATGTAAAGTAGAACATAGATATATAATTTAGAACATCATTAGAACTTACCATAAGAAAAATTAAAGGACCCGTAAAGAAAGATTCTCCATCTAGCCATTTCTTAGTAGTTTCCATCAAGTGCTCCTTAACAATTTTGCACCAATTCAACTTAACTATATTCTTTGTATCCTTGCAACTATACAAAAACTTAATGTATAGTTGCTTGTTATTAGTTGAACGGATGCAACTATTAACCACACAAACCAAAAAATTCCAAATGAATTCATCCGAAACTTGTTTTTGTTCTTTATCTACCTCCTTCACCTTTTGGATCCTACTAATCAATTGTGCATTTGTTGGAGCACCCTGTAATTAATTTAGAACATGGATAAGTAATTTAGAACATAATAAAAAATACTTTAGAACATAATTATAAATACTTTAGAACATAATCAGAATAACTTTAGAACATTAGAAAAAATACTTTAGAACATAAGCAGAAATACTTTGGAACATAATCAAAAATACTTTAGAACATAATGGAAAACTTTAGAACATCAAGAAAAAATAAGATTGAACATAATATAAAACTTTACAACATAATAGAAATACTTTAAAACATAATAGAAAATACTTTATAATCAAAAGTACTTTAAAAGATTGACATGTAATATAAATAATTTCAAACATAATAGAAAATTATAGAACATAATAGAAATACTTTAGAACATAAGAGAAAACTTTAGAACATAAGGAAAAAATATAATAGAACATAATAGAAAACTTTAGAACAATAGTTTAGAACATAAGGCAAAACTTTAAAATATAAGGGAAAAATATAATAGAACATAATAGAAAACTTTAGAACATAAGGGAAAAATATAATAGAACATAATAGAAAATCTTAAAACATAATCAAAAATACTTTAGAACATTATTAAAATAAATTAGAACATAAGCCAAATAACAAGTTTAGAATACAAGTTCACATAAAAATATTCATACCACTTTAAGGTTAAAGTTTTTTCTCCATTTTTGCATAAAATTTGCACATTCATTCTTGTTTTCTATTGTGTCAAGAATTGCTATATCTCCCATTGGCAATCCATATGTCATGTGAACATCAATTTCATCAAAGAGTATTTCTTCTTCTCTCCCCGGTAGCATCAAGCAACATCTCTTGGGATCAAAATTCGAAAGAAGTTGTTGTGTCAACCTAGATTTAAATTAAAAGTTTAGAATACAAAATACATATAGAATAGAATTTAAATAAAAATAAAAATTAACATGATAATTAAACTTTAGAACATTAATTAGAATTTTATAAGAATTAGAACATAATAGATGATATTTAAATAATAAAAACAAAAAATAAAAGTTAACGCTAGTGTTTACCAAGAATCCACATAATGTGGTGCATCCAAGTTCAAAAAAGCTCCAAATCCAATTTTTTTTAATTGCTTGTTTATGCTTATCAGAAAGATCTACCAACACTTGTTTCATCAATTCCTTAGCGATAACTCTTTGATAAGCTGATCTCATATTTTTTTCCACTTTGATTATTTTGACATCCTCATCATCCTTCTCTTTTTCAATCTTTCTTTTCTTATTTTTCTGATTTTTTTTTTTCAAAACCACTTGAAAAAAGTAAAACATTAGAAAGAATTTGAATTAGTAGATAAATTATTGTTATAATTAAATCATTTACTTTAGAACATAAGCATGAATGTATTAGAACATATGTATATAATTAATAAAGTTACATATTAATTATAATTAATTATAAATGTAGAATATAAACATGCAATTTATGACATTAGCATATAATTTAGAACCTTTTTACTATCATCATTCACGCCATCTCTTTTATCATCTTTCTCCTCCAACTTTGGTTCATCCATCTCATCATTAATATCATGTTGATCATCATTTTCATCATTATCATCATCTTCTTCTTCCTTTTTTTTCATTTTTCTAGTTGGTTGAATCCTTGATGAAAGCTTGGCACTTTTTTTTCGTTTTTGATTTTGCACATGTTTCTCAAATTCAGCTTTGTCAATTACTTCCGCATCATTTTCAACAACTTTCCTTTAAAATCAAATATAAATGATTTAGAACATATATGATAATCTTTATAACAGAATAGAAAACTTTATATCATAATATAAATACTTTAGAACATAATAGTTACTCTTATAACATAATAGAAATACTTTAGAACATAAGGGAAAACTTTAGAATATAAGGGAAAAATATAATAAAACATAATAGAAAATTTAGATCATAATAGAAATACTTTAGAACATAATAGAAAATCTTTAAAACATAAGGGAAAACTTTAGAAAATAAGGGAAAAATATAATAGAACATAATAGAAAACTTTTGAACATAAGGGAAAACTTTAGAACATAATAGAAAACTTTAGAACATAAGGGAAAACTTTAGAAAATAAGGGAAAAATATAATAGAACATAATAGAAAACTTTAGAACATAAGGGAAAACTTTAGAACATAATAGAAATACTTTAGAACATATGGATAGAAAATGTTAGAACATAATAGAAATACTTTAGAACATAAGTAAAAAATATAATAAAACATAATAGAAAACTTTAGAACATATGGAAAAACTTTAGAACATAATAGAAATAATTTAGAACATAGTAGAAAACTTTAGGTCATTATAAAAATACTTTAGAACCTAATAGAAAATCTTAGACATAATAAAAATACTTTAAAACATAAGGGAAAACTTTAGAACATAAGGGAAAACTTTAAAACATAAGGGAAAAATACTTTAGAACATAAGGGAAAACTTTAATTACCTTTTTCTTCCATAAGTAATTTTTTCATCCGGTATAATAGTAATTTCTTCTTCTGATTTTTCTTCATTTTGGCCTTGCATTTTGCTGAAATTTTATAAAATAAAAAACATTAGTAACATTCCTACATTAGTAAGATTTGCAGTCTTCAGTTTTCATTACTAGCTGACACCCTCACATTTCCAGTTTCCCACTATGCATGTACACATTCAAACAATAAAAATCATTTGTATAAATAATCATATCCAATTAAAAGCATGCTTCATTTAAGTTTACCTAGATTACAATTGTTGTAATGAAGAAGAGAGAATCTCAAACAAGAACATCTCAATAATGGCAGATCGCTAAATCAGATATTGCTCACAAAATTTGTAATCAACACTATTGGGAAGAATCAATAATTTGGCTTATTATAAACAAACAATGATTAATATAATTAGTGTGAGTGTGTGACCATACCAATTCTCCTAGAGTCCTACGCATAGAACTATAGAAGTAGCCAAATTATTCTCAATCCTCAGCACAACCCATAATTCTAATATAAATTAATCTCAATTAACACAGTAGCATCAAATTACAAACACACCAACTAAATTAATCATCACAACAAAATTATTCAATAAGACCGCAAATAAATCGTACAAAAAATGGTAAAATGACCCAAAAAAAAAATCAAATAATAATAAAGTAATCAAGAGTAGCGCTGAAATTACCTAAAATCGCTGAAATTCGAACACTAAAATCGCTGAATTCGAACACTAAAATCGCTGAAATTCGAACATTAAAATCTTTGAAATTCGAACCTTAAATCCGCTGAAAATTCCAGCCCTAAAATCGCAGTAGTTTGAACCTAAAATCGCCAAAAATTATTGAAAATCAAATCAAAAACATCAAAATTCGACTTGAACTCTTGCGAAATTCAAGAAAATCAGATCAGAAAAATCGTAAAATTGGAAGGAAAAAAAAAGGCAAATATCATGTGAAATTCATGAAATTAGAACAAAATTGAAAAATAAAGTACCTGATTTGAGTAATTAAGGCTGTTTTGGCGAAATTTGAACGAAAATACTTCAATTTACAGCAATTTGTGTTTGGTTTTGGGATTTGAGGAGAGAGAAAGTAAAGAGGCTTGAAAGTTGAGGACTTGAGGAGAGAGAAAATTTTGGCTAGTGGATTAGGGGTTTGAGGGAGGGTTTTGTGTATTAATCTTAACCGTCTAAAGTAACTTAATCCTACGGTTGAGATTGGTTCTTATATAACTAAGGTTCTTATATAAAGTGTGGTTCTTACCGGATCCTTACCCTATATATATATATATATATATATATATATATATATATATATATATATATATATATATATATATATATATAATATAATTGGCTTGTGATCTAACAAGTCCTAAACTTTGCCGACTAAACTTTTCCGCCATCAGAAATGGTAAGGCTTGGGTGGTTGAGGCTTTGAGGGATCATTTTGACTCATTTAAAAGTTGAGGGACTAAAACGCTACACATAACAAAATTTAGGGACTTTACTTTACCTTTAACTCCCTAAAAATATCATTTGCTCATTTTGATGATTGTTATTTTTTTTTTATTTTTTTTTGTTGGTTGTTGTTGTTGTAGAGATTACTTATATATTTATCAAATTAATGACCCATTATTTGAACTAGTGACCTTAGGTATTTAATTAGCTCCTCCTCCAACCACTAAACCACATGCAATCAATATTAAAGTCGAGACCTTTTTTTTCTTACACTAAGATGGATTTGCCTCTAGGATGACCTTATCCTTTGGATGACTTAATCATACTTTTGTATCACAAATTGTAACCCTTTCAAATTATACTCCAATATATAACTAATTTGGGATAGTGATTCGAATTAAGTCGTTAGGCTAAGGGTTATTTAGGGTCATTATTGGAAATTGTGGGCTTGCGGTGATTTAAGTATGTATGATAACATCTCTCTTGTTTTTGGTACTTTTGAAATATACATGATCAAAGCTAGCTAAGCGCATGAAATCAAATTTAGGCAGACTTTTTGGACTGAATTACAAGTCCCAACCTCTTTTTTTAATTTCTTTTTTTTTTTGGATTTTGAGCAACCTAAAAATTCATTTTTAAATAAAAATTTGTCCCGACCCGAAGCCTTGGCTAAAATGGACCTAGTTTTTTAGGGCAAAGCCTGTCCCGTGATCTCCTCTATTTTGAAAACAAATCAGTACGTAAACAATCCTTAAATACAATTTTGAATTTTGCGTAAATAGGTACTTTCAACTACCCAAGTCTTCGTAACAAATTGTAAAAAGTT